AGGGGCGGGGCTTCCGGCGGCAGCGGCCCTCGGGCGTCGGGTGACGCTCGGCGGCCGGGGTCGTCACGTGACACGGAAGTGACTCCGAACAGGAAGAGGACGAAAAAAATAACCGTCCGCGACGCCGAGCCGAACCGGTCCCGCAGCCACCATGAACAGCAAAGGCAAGGCCACGGGGCGGCTGGGGCCGTCGAGGGAAGTACTGCTGGCCCGGAGAGAGGGGGTTCGGAGCCCAGGGGCGCCGGTCGCCGGGCTTGGGGGTGGGCTGCGCCGCTCTCCTCGGGCGGCTGTGGCCCTGGGGCCGCTCCGGACGTCCTCGTCATCCGCGAGCTTCGATGGCCCGCTTCCCCGCCGGCCTTCTCCCTTCTAAACTCTGTGGCGCAGTTTGGAGCTGCGGGTTTGGGTGGGTGGGTGGGGGGGCTGTCGTGATGGGCACCTGCCAGAGCAAATGAGGCGCTGGAGCAGGGATTTGGGTAGGCCAATGGCGGGCGTGCGGAGGCGGGGCGCCGCTCTCGGAACAACAGGCAGGGCCGCGGGCTTAACCAGTGCGGTGCCGGCAAGTGGACGCCTCCGTCCCGGGTTCCCGCTGCGCCCACGCGTCGCCCTTGGCTGGCGGGGGGGCCCTTTCGCAGCCGTGATGGCGCTTGTGTGTGTGTCTGACGGAGCGTGATGCATCTCCAGCTTCTCCCCGCGAGGGCTTCCCCTCACCCCTTCACCCTTGCCGAGGTCCCACGGGTCACGTCCACGCTCTTCTTTATTTGGAAGTCGACCTCGCGTAGGAATCTGCGAGGGGCATGACTGAGAAGAGCCGTGACCCACGAAGGCGGCCGGGTTGCAGCTGGGCCTGCGGAGCGGGTCAGAACCTCAGGATCCGGGGCCCGGACCTGCTCTGCATTCCGGAGCGAAGCCCGGGGTGCAGCTGGCCCTTGCTCTTACATCACCGTGTGGTGGGTGGGAACGGTGCCGTTCCTGTCCGGTCAGATCCCAGCACCTTCTAGCATAAGGGTGCAAAGACAGCACCTACTAGCTCCAGAAATGAGGCCCTGCAGAGCAGTCTGTGCATAAAGCCTCTTCTGCACGCCCCCCACCCCCACCCCCCAGGTTAGCTACCCCGGCCTGTGGCCTGTCCTGCCCCATTGCAGCACTGTCCGCAGTAGGCAACCTTCATTTTTTTTTTTTTTCCCTGTCTTCCAGGTCAATATCCCACGCAGCCAACCTACCCCGTGCAGCCTCCTGGGAATCCAGTGTACCCTCAGACCTTGCATCTCCCCCAGGCTCCACCCTACACGGATGCTCCACCTGCCTACTCAGAGGTGCGGCGGGCTCGCCCAGCCCGAACTAGTGCATTTGTTAGCTGACTCCGACTTCACTCGCCTGTTCTTTTTCCCCAACACAAGAGGGCTCACGTGAATCACGGGCAACCCTACACAGTTCAGCAGTGGCTTGTGCCATTGAGAATGCATTGTTATCTCTTTATGCTCTGTTATCTGCCATGGGCGCAGGTTAAGAAGATGAGTTTGCATTCCTTGAGCCTAGTATTAGCTGTAGCAGGACGAGAGTAGAATGTTGAATGGCGGGGGCGGCAAGGATTGGCTCATGGAAGGGAACCCAGATAGCACTGTTGTCGGGTAACATTCTGCGCTCTCTCCTGCCTCTTCTAGCTCTACCGTCCGAGCTTTGTGCATCCAGGGGCTGCCACGGTCCCCACCATGTCAGCTGCATTCCCTGGCGCCTCTCTCTACCTGCCTATGGCCCAGTCTGTGGCTGTTGGGCCCTTAGGTTCCACAGTCCCCATGGCCTATTATCCAGTTGGCCCCATCTACCCACCTGGGTCGACAGTGCTGGTGGAAGGAGGCTATGATGCAGGTGCCAGATTTGGAGCTGGGGCTACCGCGGGCAACATCCCTGTAAGTACGCTCTCACCATGGAAAACCCCTGTGTGTGTGTGTGAAGCCTGTGACGTGGCTTCCTGGTCCATCACCACTAGCATTCCGTAGTCTGGCAGAAAGTGTTCGGGGCGGGGGTGGGGGACTTTGGCATGCTCACTGGAGTCCGAGTTGACCAGTTTCCTTTGATTTCTTGTCTTCTGAGTCCTGCTTACCACGTTTCCGGTTCATGTTGGTACAGTGAACTGGCGTGATGCTCTGTGCTGAGTGCAGAAGCACTTAGTGTTTGTCAGCAGCAGGCTGTGGGACTGGGAGCTCTGACGATTGGAAAAGAAGGCCTAGCTCCTCGTATGTAGCTTGTAGCGGGAGACGCGAGGTTTCCGCTAGCATGGTCTCCTGCTTCCTCAGCTCAGCATGTGGGATTTGCAGCCCAAGGGTCCTTGTCAAGGCCATCTCACTCAGTGCAGGAATGGGGTCCCTACCAAGCGCTCAGGTTCCCAGGGATCTGTTCACAAACCACGCAGGCGCCCTGTGGGACTGCTCTGTGGACGTCTTGTTTGGGGAGTGAGTGGCAGAGATCTCCTTCCCTGAAAATGACTGTGGGTCTGGCTTGTCAGTCTTCCCACTGGAGCCGAACCCTTTCAGTCAGATGGCAGGCGTTCATGTTTGTATCCTGGGAGAACATGGTAGCCTTGCTTTAGAACTCCGGTAGGTGGCCGGACTAGCTGGCTCCTTGGAACGCTGTTAGTGGGCGGCAGATGGCCATTGTCCTGGTGGGCACTCTGTGCCACCTGGGTCACTCTCCCTGTTCTCAGCTGCCCTGTGCCCAGTCTTCCATGTCGTTTCCTTTCAGCCTCCACCTCCTGGATGCCCTCCGAACGCGGCTCAGCTTGCCGTGATGCAGGGAGCCAACGTCCTGGTAACTCAGCGGAAGGGAAACTTCTTCATGGGCGGCTCAGATGGGGGCTACACCATCTGGTGAGGAACCAAGGCCGCCTCTGTGCCGGGAAAGACATCACATACCTTCAGCACTTCTCACAATGTAACTGCTTTAGTCATATTAACCTGAAGTTGCAGTTTAGACACATGTTGTTGGGGTGTCTTTCTGGTGCCCAAACGTTCAGGCACTTTTCAAATTTAATAAGGAACCACGTAATGGCAGCAGTACCTCCCTAAAGCATTTTGAGGTAGGGGAGGTATCCATTCATAAAATGAATGTGGGTGAAGCAGCCCTAAGGATCTTCCTTTTATTCCTCCGGAGTAATACTGTACCATACTGGTCTGTGCTTTTAGTAATAAAACATCAATTAGGTTTGGAGGGAACTTTGATCTTCCTGAGAATTAAAGTTGCCAAATTATTCTGATTGGTCTTTAATCTCCTTTAAGGTTTTGATTTCTATTACTTGTTATAAACGAAATGCATTAGTTGTCAGACTTTTCCCTTCCGTCCTCTATCCACGCCCATGTCCCACGTCCCACGTCCCACGTCCACCCCTAGTCTTCCATCCCCTCCCGCCAGTCTCCACTGAATCAATGGTGCAGGACAGAAAGCCAGGCAGACTAACTTCCTTCTCTCCTTGCACTGCTCCCCGCCCGTCATGTTCTCCCTAGTCTTTCACAAGGATCCTCTGAAACCCCCTCAGCCCCACGCACAGACCCCGAGACGTCTGCTCTCCTTAACTCCTCAGGCAAAAGTGGAGGATACCGTTTGGACTCCCCAGAGGTTATCTGCATATACAGCTCCAACCCAGATTTGCTTTGGTGCCAGGGAAACTGAACTCTGAACAAGAGACGGGTGCAAACCATCCCATAAACCAGTCTGTCTAAAACCTGAGCTGCAAGGAGGGCGCATTTTGGAAGCCCGACTGATGTCTGTAGAGCCAGATTTAAGGGGAGTTTCTGGATCCAAAATTAGTCACCACTGCTTGTCAGAGTGTCCCAAGAATTCCCACACCTGGTCCGTGGGGTCCTGTCGTGAGCGCCTCACTGTAAAATGACTTGAGCCCAGTGAAATCGCGTTAGGGTTAAGAGTATTTCAGGGATCCTTAATATTTTGATTTTTGTTTTTCTGAAATTGGATTTTATTTTATTTTATCTGATAATTTCAGTTCATCTAAATCTTGTGTTCTGTACATGTGATGTTTGACTGTACCATTGACTGTTATGGAAGTTCAGCGTTGTATGTCTCTCTCTACACTGTGGTGCACTTAACTTGTGGATTTTTTATACTAAAAATGTAGAATAAAGACTATTTTGAAGATTTGAATAAAGTGATGAAGTTGCATTACACCTCACTCCAAGAATTCTTTACTTAGCTTGTTTTTAGGATTTCTTCTGTGCATGCGTCTTTTATATTGCATCTAGCGTGCGGCTAGGTGCAGCAGCTGGTTTGGTTTCCTTTAATGAAGTCTTTGAAATCCATGTAGGAGTACAAGGCTAAGATTTCCATTTTCTTGAGTTCTACTTTAACTGTCCAACTTCACTTCCTGAACTCTTTGGGATCCTGGGGTTCAGAACCTAAACTTAGAAGTAAGAGAACAAAGGGTCGCTTCTTCTAACTTGCTTTGAAATTTGGTTTCAGGAAAATGGTTCAGTGTAAGCCGGTTGTGGATGTTCTGGGTGACCTTTAGCTTCTCCAGAGCTCTGTGTGGAGAAACAGGAAAAACTCAGGGGTCCAGGCTGCCGAGATTGATTCCTCTTGGGTCTCACCTTGGGTGGGCTTGAGTTGGGGTTAGACAATGGAGGCAAAAGGAGACAGATCTAGTTATTTTAAACACTCATTTCGAAACTTAGATGAAATCCAGCAGACTTAGGTGTCAGATTCCCAGAATGTCGGGGGGAGGGTGGGTGGCCTGATTGTTCCTGGTTCTCCCTGTCCCTACACAGAGTGAGTTCGGGGCAAGTCCTGGCCCTCACGGACCAGTGCTGTTGCTGCCGAGGCGCGGCGGGGACAAGCTTCCCTGGGCCACTGTTGCCTCACACTCCTGAGACGGCTCTGGGAACCGCTACTTGTTGCTTGGGAGAGAACACAGAGGAGTTAAGCCAAAGAAAACAATGTGAAGAATCTAAGTAAGCAAGGATAAGTAAAAATGCAAAACCACTGACTGCTGGAACTGAGAGTCTGAGTTATTGAACATTTTAATACAGATAAAAATGGCCTTACGCTTGAGGTTGTTGGGGAATGAGGAGAGGAAGGGATGTACATTTGTCAGAACTAAGGTCTCCATTGTCTCCTCCGCCCCGGCCAGGCTTTTCATGGTGGGATCCCGCCTACGGGAAGCTCCGTGGCCAGTATTTCCTCTGGGGCTATTGCTACGCAACCAGGCAGGACACAGGATGGAGCAGGGAGTGACCCCCATCTTTCTCACTCTCATCAACCTGTGAGAAAAGTGAACATGGCCAGGCGTTTGTGCCAGGGCTCCCTGTTTTAGCCAGGCACGCACACAGGCTCTGTAATGAAGACATCCCAGGCAGCTCTCTCCACGTCCCTGGAATCAGCCACACCAGCACTTGTGCCTATGTCCCGGAAGGAGTTTGAATCTGCCCACATCAATCCGCTTCTCACTGGCTTCACAGAAAACCTTCACCGAATCAACAGGAGACAGGGCTGAGCCCCTGGGGCCCAGGACTCCTTAGATGAAATACTCTTCCTTCTCTCTGTCCTTGGCCGAGTCACTCTCCATCTGGAGCACGGCGCTGGGCTCGCCGCCTTCCGCAGGCTCGTAGGTCACGTAGCTGCCCTTGTTCTTGTACAGGTAGAAGAAGATTAAGATCACCACGGATAGCAGGGTGAGGAAGACCACGGTGATAACCACTTGAAAGGGAAAACAGAGAGAGGTTTCACTAGGCCACGCAGCTTACGGGACTTCCTCACTCTTCCTGAGGGCCCTCTTGTGTAGTTAGCTAGTGTCCACTCAGAAATGCATGATCCAACCTCCCTTGGATGGGATACGCGGAGTCTGTTGGTGTTTGAGCTAAGGACACAGTGCTTTTGACTTCTAACAAAACTCAGCTCCCTCCCAAACCAGTTCCTGATGACTGTGACAGCAACAGGGAGGAGGGAAACAGGAAATGGCTTATCCAGGGGTCAGCGCTGCGGCACGGTAGGTTAATCCTCCACCTGCGGTGCCGGCATCCCAAATGGGCGCTGGTTTGAGTCCTGGCTGCTCCTCTTCCGAACCAGCTCTCTGCTATGGCCTGGGAAAGCAGTAGAAGATGGCCCAAGTCCTTGGGCCCCTGCACCCATGTGGGAGACCCAAAAGAAGCTCCTGGCTTTGGATTGGCTTAGCTCTGGCTGTTGTGGCCATCTGGGGGGTGGCCATCTGGGGAGTGAACCAGCACATGGAAGATCTCTCTCTCTCACTGTCTGAAACTCCACCTCTCAAATAAATAAATAAAACCTTAGAAAACAAGGAAATAGCTTATCCCAACCAGAAAGGATTTTAAAAACTCCACAGCCTCTCCTGTGTGGGTTTCTCCAATCCTGCTCTTCCTTAGCCACTCAAAAAACCACATAGTTTCCCACCCCCACCCCCAAGTGTAGTATCTACAGACACCAGTGTCCATCCGTGGCCACCTCCTAACCTACCATTTACAGGCAGTGCCTCTAGCAGAAGCCAATGTGTGTGCGATAACCTACGTGCAAGAGTGAGCCTGTTAGTGGTGGTGGTCCCTGAAGTTAGGGTGCTTTGCTAGTGCGGGGACAATCTAGTTCATCTCAGGGGGTTTCAGACTGCGGTGAGATGGTCCCTGGTCCCAGCTTTGGCTCAGAGCCTGTGTTACCTGCAATGAGTGCTGTGCTGGCTTCTTCAGCTTCGGGGGACAGGGCCCCAGGGGCTTCCAGAATTGGAGTGGTCATCTGTCCTTCTGCAAAAGGAAATGGGGTGAGCCTTTTGTTCTACAGCACAGGTGTACTCTTCAAATGTTGCCACTCCACCTTCTTCCCTGTGTGAGTTTATCATCGGGCTGCTGATGTGCTGCAGGGGTTATAAGCCACTGCTTGTGATGCTGCATCCCATATTGGAGTCCAGTTGCTCCACTTCCCAATGCAGCTTCCTGCTAATGCACCTGGGAAGGCAGCAGAAGATGGCCCAAGAGCTTGGGTCCCTGCCACCCCTGTGGGAGACCCATATGAAGCTCCTGACTCCTGGTTTTGGCCTGGCCCAGCCCTGGCCTTTGCAGTCATTTGGGGGGGGTGAACCAGTAGATGGATGACCTCTCTCCCCCTAAAATAAATTTTAAACAAAGAAAAAAAAAAAAAAAAAAAAAGGAAAAGATCCTGACTCAAGAGCCTGACTGCAGATTTCCAATCCTAGCTCTGTCAGCTGTTTGACCTTGAGAAAATTACCCAGCCCTTCTGTGCATGTTTTCTCATTGACAAAATGGAGTAATGAGTAGGGTGTGTGCTAAGCAGCTCCGCAGGGATAAGCCATTAGTAGGAATGCATACTTCTATAAAATCGGATCAAAAGATGAATGTACATGCAGGTATATTTATATAGCAGGTGCATTTTCTTCAGTGTTATGAATTCGCTGAAAACACTATTTTTTTTTTTTTTTTTTTTTTTTTTTTTTTTTTTTTTGACAGGCAGAGTGGACAGTGCGAGAGAGACAGAGAGAGAAAGGTCTTCCTTTGCCGTTGGTTCACCCTCCAATGGCCGCCGCTGCAGCCGGCGCACCGCGCTGATCCTGGCAGGAGCCAGGAGCCAGGTGCTTTTCCTGGTCTCCCATGGGGTGCAGGGCCCAAGCACCTGGGCCATCCTCCACTGCACTCCCTGGCCATAGCAGAGAGCTGGCCTGGAAGAGGGGCAACCGGGACAGAATCCGGCGCCCCAACCGGGACTAGAACCCGGTGTGCCGGCGCCGCAAGGTGGAGGATTAGCCTATTGAGCCACGGCGCCGGCTTGAAAACACTATTTTAAAATAATGAAATAAGGCTCCTCTCCTAAAAACTCTTTTCTGGACTTCAGGAAAGGCCTTACAGTTTCAAAAAGTCCTAAACGAGGTCTCTCCTTCCCTAAAATATATCCTGCCCCCCACCACAGTTCCTCCTGAATGTTGCCTGCACCCCTCCCCCCCAGCCATGCCCCAGAGTCAGGACAGTAATAAACTGGAGGTCTCCCATGTCCCTTTAAGTGTTTACACAGGAAGTCAGGAAGCCCTTCAATGTTTCCCTAATTAGCATTTTCATAGAGTGGTTAGCGAAGGTAACAATTACACAGAGGTTACTGCAGGGTAAAGGTATCCAGGGGGAAGCAGGCTGGCTGAGCAGGGAACCAGCAACCCCCCCAGGTTCAATTGTTCATCCAATAAATACTCACTCACTGACTGCCTCCTCTGCCAGACACTGGGCACAGGAGCTGCTGCCCGAGGGGGTAACGTGAGCCAGGATCTACAGTGTGAGGGACAATGTCTAAGCAGAGCCACAGCTCTGAGACAGGTGGACTCTAGGGCCTGTGTGACTGACGCAGAATGTGGCAGGTGCAGGTTTCCATCCAAGACCAGAGACTTGAGGTCGAGTGATGGCCTTGGGACGCAGTGGGTTGGGACACCAGCATCCCACATCCAGAATGACCCGCCAGGAGTCCCGGCTGCTCTGCTTTGGATCCAGCTCTCTGCTAGCTAATGCGCCAGGGAAGACAGCAGGTGATGCCCCAACTACTGGGGCCCCTGCCACCCACTGGGGAGGAGACCAGGTGAAATTCTTGGCTCTTGGCTTCAGCTTGGCCCAGTCCTGGCTGTTGCAGTCATTTGGATGGGAGATTTCACTGTCTCTCTCTTTCTCTGAGGCTCTACCTTTCAAACAAATAAATAAATCTTAAGACAAAAAAACAAAGAAACAAGAGAAAGCAGAGAGCAGATGTGGGCTGTCTACATCACTGCCTCTCCAAGGCCAGCTCGAGCCCTTCTCCACTGTTCTTGCTTTTTTTAGGACTGGTAGAACTGTTAGATAGGAAGTTAGGTATGAGCTTACGTGTGTATGACAGGCCTAAAGAGAAGACATCTATATCCAGCATGTGCATCTACATCTCAAAGTCATCCTGATAATGTTTCAGGGGCATCCTGCCCTGCCCCCTTCTACCTGATAACCTGCCAGGTGGAGGTCCCGCCCCTTCTGCCTGACAAATCTTCCACAATCTCCCAGGTGCAGCCCAGTATCTGCATTTCCAACACCCTGTTCCAGATCCCCATTCTCTAGGGGGTCCTTCTCACCCTTCCTCTGAACCCAGGATGGTGCCAGCTAGGCTTCCTTCTGTCTGATACCTTCAAGGGAAAACTCAAATAGAAGATTCTTAATATTTACAGCCATAAATCCTTTGTTTCAGGAGGAAATGTGTGAAGACAAAGATCCATCCCCTTAACACACACACACACACACACACACACACACACTGGCCTCCACCGGACTGCGTGCTCAGCCCTCTGCCTCTCTGCTGAGCCGCCCGCCTGGTCAGGTCAGGTATAATCTCTCTACTCAACCATGTAACCTCGCTCCTTCCCACCCCCACCCCCCCAGTCCAAGTGATTGGGCACTCTCAGGTCCTGTCTGGAGAGGTGCCCATCCGTTCTTATGGATGTCCCTACCCTAATAAACCTTGCTATTTTACCTCCCACTACTCTCTGTCTCACGCCTGAATTCTTTCTTGCGCGAAGACAAGAACCCTGCATTTCTCCAGTAACAGAACAGTCAGTCACTTTGTGGCCTTGATTCATGCCCCCTCCTCTGTTACTCATGGGGACTCTACTAACCAACTCTGTAGTTACTGTGCAGGTGAAATGCGTGAACAGGGGCTGGCGCTGTGGCATAGTGGGTAAAGCCACCACCTGCAGTGCAAGTATCCCATATGGGCACCCGTTCAAGTTCCAGCTGCTCCACTTCTGATCCAGCTCTCTGCTGTGGCCTGGGAAAGCAGTAGAAGATGGCCCAAGACCTTGGGCCTCTGCACCCATATGGAAGATCCAGAAGAAGCTCCTGGCTCCTGGCTTTGCATCTCCAGCTGTTGCAGCCAATTGGAGAGTGAACCAGCAGATGGAAGACCTCGCCCTCTCTCTCTCTCTGCCTCTCCTTCTCTCTTTGTGTAGCTTTGACTTTCAAATAAATAAATACATCTTTAAAAAAAAAAAAAGATGTCACTTGGGATGCCACATCTCATATCAAGGCAGCAGTGATGGCTCAGCTAATGGGGTTCCTGCTCCCCATGTGGGAGACCCGCAGTGAGTTCCTAGTTGTAAGCATCTAGAGAGTGACTAGTGACTGGGGCTCTGTATCTCCTGCCTCTCAGAGAAGTCAGTGTGCAAACATGCAAGCACATGACAGTAACTACTACTTCAGATACGCTGTATGTTGATTTTGCTTAGACACTTAGTGATGACAAAAAAAGCTGCTCGTTTGAATCCTGCCCGACATATTACTGGGGGACCTTGGGGAAGTTACTAACGCTCTTGGAACCTCAGTTTCTTGATCTGTAAAATGGGATTGTGGAGGGCAGGCCCCCACTCAGGTGTGTAGGCTGGACCCAGTGGCATACTTCTACCAAACAGAATACGGCAAAGTGATGGATGTCACTTCTGAGTTCAGGCTGTACGAGATTGTGCCTTGGGGCCGGTGCTATGGCGTAGAGGATTAAGTGACTGCCTGCAACGTTGGCATCCCATATGGGTGCTGGTTTGAGCCCCAGTTGCTCCACTTCTGATCCAACTCCCTGCTAATGCGCCTGAGAAAGCAGTGGAAAATGGCCCAAGTGCTTGGGCCCCTGCTACCCACATAGGAGACCTGGATGGAGTTCTTGATTTCGGGGGGCCCAGCCCCAGCCATTGCAGCCATTTGGGTAGTGAACCAGTGGATGAAGATCTCCTACACTGCCTTGTGGCGCGGGCACACCGGGTTCTAGTCCCGGTTGGGGCGCCGGATTCTGTCCCGGTTGCCCCTCTTCCAGGCCAGCTCTCTGCTGTGGCCCGGGAGTGCAGTGGAGGATGGCCCAAGTACTTAGGCCCTGCACCCCATGGGAGACCAGGATAAGTACCTGGCTCCTGCCATCGGATCAGCGCGGTGCGCCAGCCGCAGCGCACTGGCCGTGGTGGCCATTGGAGGGTGAACCAACGGCAAAGGAAGACCTTTCTCTGTCTCTCTCTCTCACTGTCCACTCTGTCAGAAAAAAAAAAAAAAAAAAAAAAAAAGATCTCCTACTTGTCTCGCCCTCCCTCTCTGTCACTCTGCCTTTCATAAAAGCAAATCTTTAGCCGGCGCTGCGGCTCAATAGGCTAATCCTCCGCCTGCAGCGCCGGCACACCGGGTTCTAGTCCCAGTCGAGGCATCAGATTCTGTACTGGTTGCTCCTCTTCCAGTCCAGCTCTCTGCTGTGGCCAGGGAGTGCAGTGGAGGATGGCCCAAGTGCTTGGGCCCTGCACCCCATGGGAGATCAGGAGGAGGCACCTGGCTCCTGGCTTCAGATCAGTGTGGTATGCAGGCCGCAGCGGCCATTGGAGGGTGAACCAACGAAGGAAGACCTTTCTCTCTGTCTCTGTCTCTCTCTCTCTCACTGTTCACTCTGTCAAAAAAAAAGCAAATCTTTAAAAAAAAATTTTTTTGGCGCCAACATCGATTTATCTTTTAATCCCATTTTCCTACAAATTGTATAAAGTCCTCTCTTGTTTCGGGGAACAGATAGAGAGTAGTTCTTGGAAAGAGAATTGGGGAGGGAAGGTGATTCCCAGCTGAGGGAGTGTGCACATGACCCCAATCACAACAGCTGCCCTTGACCCAGTTCCGGCTCCCTTGGCTGCAGGGAGAATTAAGTGACAGGTTTCATGTTCACACCCACAGCCACAGTGGCTGCAGCCAAGGCTTGAACCCAAGACGTCCCAACG